ACCAAAGGAGATTCTTGTGAACTGTCATTGCTTACTATCAGCTTCAAATGCTGCGTAAGGTCTCTCTTCTACAGAAATTGGAATTTAATGATATGCTGATTTCAAGTCAATTGTACTGAATATTGCATAGCTAGCAACTTTACTTACAATATCGTGAATCCGGGGGAGTGGATAAGCATCAAGTGAAGTATATTTATTTATAGCTTGTGAATAGTAAATAACCGGACGTTTATTGTGGTTTTCAGTGAGTGATTAGTGGCTGAGCTTACATCAGGTGAATGTTTTGTACCTCATAGGTGGATTGTTTGTATTTGTCTGAAAATCGTCGGGTGTTAGTAGCAATAAGTCGTATATTAGGAACTAAATTACTGAACAATTTGTGTGATGCAACATCAGCCGATAGTAAGCTACATATAGAAAGTGGTGGTCTAGGTCCTCCAAAAGATACGTCAACATGAGAGTGATACTTCATTAAATCATTGCCGAGAAATACATTTCCACATAACTGAGGGAAAATTGACAACCTAACACCATTGTGCGTACGACCTTGAATATACAATTTTAGGCCTACTTATAGCCTATGTAACCTAATACTTTATACGTCAAATTTGTAGTAGCCGTAGAAACCTGTCCACTTCCAGGTATTACTTTAATCCCGTGTTTTAAAAGAAAATTCTGATTTTTGTAACTATCAGAACTACCAGTATCAATTAAGAAATTAGCATGCAATTTAAATCCATGTGTGTAGCCCCTGAGCTGTTGGACATAATGTAAGACTAAATTACTTACGTAATTCCCGTCACAGCTCAATAAAATATGTCTATTCAGGACATGTTTCGGTGTTAAAACACCATCGTCAGCTACATGCCTGAAGCTGACGATGGTGTTTTAACACCGAAACATGTCCTGAATAGACATATTTTATTGAGCTGTGACGGGAATTACGTAAGTAATTTAGTCTTACATTAAATTAGCATGTCTACCATTTACTCAGACTGAGACGACTGCTTTTCACAAGCAAGCAGGTCCAGCGGCAGGAATATTAGCTGTGAGTAGGGTACGCTGTACTTGGGCCCGCCAATCAGAGAGCAGCATTTCATCCCCACCCCTCCCCTAGGCCACGCCCATCAGCCAATCAGAGAGTAGCATTCCCCCTAGGCCACGCCCCCTAGCCAATCAGAGCGCAGCCCTTTCTCTAGGCCACGCCCCCTAGCCAATCAGAGAGCAGCATTCCCTCTAGGCCAATCAGAGAGCAGCATTTCCTCTAGGCCAATCAGAGAGCAGTATTTTCCTTAAGCCGTGCCCTAGAATTTCCACGTGGTCTAACCTCACATGTGTTCTAACCTCACTTTTTATTTTCCCGCCAAATAACATAACCTCACTTCCCCCAGCAAATATTGTAAATGTGATTGGTAAGGATTGAACCAGTGAACCTCTTAGATCAATGACTTATGCTACTCCTACTATGATACAACACCATACTAAAAATCAACACGTCACCCCGACTGGAAATGAAACTTTGGTAATTGGTAAGAATCGAACCTGTGAACCTCTGGCTCATACACAGTCTTGTACACAACCAACTGCTAGGAAGAAACATTATTCAGATTAACCATCATTCCAACAATACATAATATCTATGAAATGTTTATTATATGTTCAACAATTGGTGGCCTTTAGAAAGGCCATTTTTGTTCTCCATAGTAAAGTTCTGCTTAAGCCTTTTTCCAGTCGGTTAAACAATGGATATGGGAATTATAATTTGCTTTGTCATTGTTATGGACTGTAGTATATAGGTATATGTAAATAAAACTCAGCAAATACTGTAAATGTGACTGGTAAGGATCGAACCCGTGAACCTCTGGCTCATACACAGCCTCATACACAACCAACTGCTAGGAAGAAACATTATTCAAATTAGCCATCATTCCAACATTCACCTGGACCTGATTACATAACATCTATGAAATGTTTATTTAACGTTCAACAATTGGTGGCCTTTAGAAAGGCCGTTTTTTGTTCTCAATGGTAAAGTTCTGCTTAACCCTTCTTCTAGCCGGTTTTAACGGTGGATACGGGAATTATCATTTGTTTTGCCATTCTTATGGACTGTAGTATATATAGTAAATAAGACTCAGCAAATATTGTAAATGTGTTTGGTAAGGATCGAACCCGTGAACCTCTGGCTCAAGTCCAAGTGTATATGACTGTGGCGACAACCACATACACAGCCAGAAACATTATTCAGATTAACCACAATTCCAACAATACCTGGAATCTATGAAATGTTAATTTAATGTCCAACAATTGGTGGCCTTTAGAAAGGCCGTTTTTTGTTCTCTATGGTAAAGTTTTGCTTAAGCCTTCTTCAAGCCGGTTTTAACAGGGGATACGGAAATTATCATTTGTTTCGTCATTGTTACGGACTGCAGCTTAAAGGTACATGTAAGTAAGAATTAAAAAAATATATATTTTTTTATATGCTCTGTAAGTTAAGGTTGTCATTTACCGCTGTAGCTGCAATTCTGCCAATTCCTGACAACTATCTATCTATTATTTACATTTAAATTTCTCTATCTAAAAATACATAATGTCTAAGAAGAATTGATGCCCTTTATAAAGGCCGTTTTTTATGCTGGTTGGTAAAGTTTTGTTTAATGGCTTTTACTCCTATCTATTATTTACATTAATCTAAAAAGTATTTACAAACATTATATTTTTCAAAATTTCTACTTCTTCTTCTTCATCATCATTACTGTTCTTGTTCATTCTTGTTCATCATCATCATCATACTTGTTCGACGAAAACAAGGAAGTGTTAATGGTGTGTCTGGTTGCTGATTGGTTGTAATAAGCTTGTACCTGATTGGTCATAAATAGGTGATCTGTTGTGTGATTGGCCAATTTTTGCTATTTAAGCTTTCCAGTACTAATTTTCTTTCACTTTGCTTTTGGCAGTTGAACGTGTTGGACGTGTGCTCTTGTGTTTGACGTTTTGAGGTTATGTTTGCAAGTTTTTTCTTGTGTTAATTTTAGTCTGATTATTTATTGTGTAGTACATCAGTTTTATAGTAAGTGAATCAGTTTTATAGTACATCAGTTTTATAGTAAGTGAACATTGTTTCTTTTGTGTAACGTGTTGTGCAATCGGTGTGTTATATTAAGCTTTGTGAGCGCGCAGCTGTGCCCCCACCACATCTTGTGTCTCTGTGTTGTGTAATCCGTGTGCTATACTTAGCTTTGTGCGCGCGCAGACTGTGCCCCCACTAGAACTAGCGTATCTGTGTCCCTTTCACTTTTCTCTAGGTATTTGACGACGATGGATGTAAGTATGGCTGATAATGTATCTGATGAAGTAGTTGAACCCGTTAAAGTAGTTGAGCCTGTGGCTGATTAATAGTTTGACTGCTGCTTTTGTTTGTACATATTTTTGTGAAGCTTGTCATGTACCCTATGATCACAAAGGAGCCCACCGCTGCTCAAACATTTGTCCGCAGTGTCAGACCATCTCACCACCTTGTGTAGGGGAGAGTGGTGGTGTTTTGTGCCCTAAATGTAACATGACTTATAAAAATCAGAGATGTTTTATTGCGCATCAAGCTGACAGATGTAAAAATGTAAAGAAATGTCTTGACTGTGGGAAATTGGTTTGGATTAGAGAACGGTCCAAGCCTCATAAATGTGGCGAAGTATATTGTAAACCTTGTAGTTCATTTGAAGACCCTAACCACAAATGCTACATGAAACCTGACACAAGAAAGCCTAAATCTAAAGATTTTCTGTTTATTTTCTTTGACTTGGAAGCCCGCCAAGATGAGTCTCTGCCCTCAGATCCCGAGTCTAAATTGCATAAAGTAAACTTGTGTGTGTCACAACAGTTTTGCTATCAGTGTATTGAGGTAAAATTGTGTATGGCTTGTAAAAATCGTACGCGAGTGTTTAGTTTTGAACCAGTCACTCAGTTCATGGACTATGTGATGCAAGTCCGTAAACATTTCAAAGATGTTTGTGTCATTGCACACAATGGGCAGGGCTTTGATTTCCAATTTTTGCTCAAGTATGTGCTGGAGGATACAAAGTTCACTCCGAAACTTGTGATGCGGGGAACTAAGGTCATTTTGATGGAGATTGACAATGTGAGGTTTGTTGATTCACTTAGTTATTTCCCTATGCCTCTAGCTTCGCTGCCCAAAGCCTTTGATTTGCCCCCGGAAAAGAAGAAAGGCTATTTCCCCCACCTTTTCAACACCCTAGACAACCAAAATTATGTGGGCCCTATGCCGGCAAAGGAGTTTTACTGTCCAGAATCTATGTTTGAAAAATCACAAAAAGATTTTGAAAATTGGTACAATGATCAGGTTGAAAATCACGTTACATTTGACTTTAAAAAAGAAATCCTCGAGTATTGTATGTCTGATGTTGATATCTTGGCCCAAGCTTGCTTAAAGTTCCGTTCAATTTTCCTGGAAGAGTGTAATGTTGATCCGTTTCTCGAGGCTGTGACCATTGCCAGTGCTTGTAACTTGGCTTTTCGCAGGAACTTTTTGAAGAAAAATACTATTGGCATCGTTCCTAAAAATGGCTATAGGCTTACAGACGCTCAATCGGCCATTGCGTTACAGTGGCTATCATGGGAAGAGGAGAAACGCGGAGTTAGAATAGAACACGCTGGTCGTGGAAAAGAAGTTAAGATCAATGGAATGAAAGTTGATGGGTATGACGGTCAACAATTTACCCCTGAATCCGAGGCAAGCATTTTTCGGTGGTAGAACCGGGAACGCCAAAACTTACCACAAGTGTGTGGAGGGAGAAACCATTGAGTACGTTGATATATGCTCACTTTACCCTTGGGTATGTAAATATGGCAAGTACCCTGTGGGCCATCCAACGATCTATGTAGGTGACAGGGAATGTAGAGAGAGAGGTCTCAATGTTGAGGGTCTATTAAAGTGCAAAGTACTACCACCACGTGATCTTTACCATCCTGTGCTCCCGGCCAAAATGAATGACAAGTTAATGTTTGTTTTGTGCGCGACTTGTGGAGACGGTCAGATTCAAAGTGATTGCGACCACGAATGTGGTGACAGAGCACTAATTGGGACATGGACCATGGACGAGATTCGAAAAGCTGTAGAAAAGGGTTATGTTGTACTCGACATGTATGAACTGTGGGAGTATAAGGTAGCCACCTATGAAAACGGTGGGTTGTTTACTGACTTTATAAATAAATTTCTAAAAATGAAACAGGAAGCGTCTGGGTTCCCTAGCTGGTGTGAAACAGAGGAGGATAAGGATCAGTACATTAAGGATTATTTTAAAAAAGAGGGTGTCCAACTGGAAAAAGACAAAATTATCAAGAATGGTGGTTTGAGGTCATTGGCTAAACTGATGTTGAACTCTTTTTGGGGGAAATTTGGACAGCGGGAAAACCAGACTAAAGCTACAATTGTCAGGGACCCAAAAACACTTTTCAAAATGTTAACTAGCCCTGAAATAGATGTAAATAAAGTACAGATTGTCAATGAAGAGGTTCTTGTTGTTAGTTGGGAGTATATTGATGAGGTTGGGGAGCCATTGCAAAATGTAAATGTTGTGGTGGCAGCTTACACCACTGCCCAAGCGAGATTGAAGCTCTATGAGCATCTAGATGCCCTGGGCGGTCAGGTATTGTATTACGATACTGATTCTGTACTATATGTATATAAGGGTGGATTGTACAGAGTTCCTACGGGAGATTATCTAGGGGAAATGACCGATGAGTTGGCCGAGTATGGACCAGGTTCATACATAGTAGAGTTTGTATCCGGAGGGCCTAAAACCTATGCATATCTTGTGTGGTCGACTAACAAACAAAAATTGATTCCCGTATGTAAAGTAAAAGGGCTCACATTAAACATGAAAACTTCTAAAAAAATTGGATTTGACAGTTTGAAAGAGATGGTTCTTGGTGATGCTGCACAAACAATGGACATTGAGGAAAATAGAATCAGACGAACAAAGGATAGGAATATAGTTACAATCAGTGAAGTCAAACAGTTTAAAATTACGGGACCAAAGAGGAAACATAGTAGCAATTATGATACACTTCCATATGGGTTTAAAATGCAAAAAACTCACCAAAATCTCAACTCCTGAATAATCACTATCTTTCACGTACTCCCAGTCCCCAACATCCACCTCGTTCTAGCCATTCCACCCTCCTTGCTACCAATTAAACCCAAATACCGAATCTGTGTCTTCGTCTTCTTTTTCTTCGCTTAAATTTAAAAATTAACAAATCCTACACCATAAATAATTTTGAATGAAATCATTTACAACCAACACTAGAGAGATCATGTTGGACACTGAACACATGTTGCACATGCTGCACATGTGTAGCGCTCCCCTCTCCACTATCGCTACATGCCTTAATGGCGGCATACGCAGTTTTTCTTGGCGGTAACGGTGGTGGCCTTAGATCCAGGGGTTGAAGTTCTTCGTATATTGGCTCCACCGGCTCGCGTTTGATGGAAAACACCCAGCCGAAACATGATGCGAAGCACATGGTGACTGAGATCCAACTGGAGTGGGGCTATTTTTAAATCTGTTTGTACATTGAGGCGCTCAAATCTGGAGGGACTTGGGCTACTCCTTGTGCATGTGTGAATGCTATTGGTCACTGGCGCGGCCGACTAAAAAGCCCATAAACCATGAGTGAATGTTGGTCACTGGCACGGCTGACTAAAAAGCCTGTAAACCATGTGTGAAGGTCACTGGCGCGGCTGACTAAAAGGCCCGTAAACCACGTGTGGAGGGGTAAGTGTCATTCCACTTGGAACCTTTACACCACCATGTTGTCCCTACTCGAGTTTTCAGCTAGAACGATTACTGATAATCTGTTTCTTTTAAATACTGTAAAGCAAGCAGCAATCCCACCTATGATTAAAGATTAAATATTCAATTACCACCATGAAAACTGCGGCTATGTCTACTACCATATTTGTTTTTTCGACAATGAAGAGTCTTGTAAGGATTTTGGAGAGGCAGCAAATATTTCTTTCCGACGGTTTGGAACGATTGTATGTGTACCAAAATTTAAAACTCCAAGAGATAGATGCACCGTCTGTGCAGCACGTCTATACAAATGGACCAGATTGAGATGTTCCTGTTTACAATCCATGATCACATCCTTGAGAAGGTGGTAAGAGACGTTTTGGGGGAACGGAGACGGCAACTAGTTTGTTTTTGGAGGCCGTCACGAGCTGTGGCGGTGGAGGGGCCGCAGCTTTTCTGGGGGCAAATAAAAAGATAGTCTATTCTATTTGGAACATTCTAACCATCATGTTGTCCCTGTCCGAGCTTCCAATTAGAAAGATTTACACAAACGTCATCCTTTTAGTTTATGTAAAAGAAAGTGTTGATCTTCCATCAACGCTATGGCAGGACAATTTGAACTATCATAAAGAAAACTGTGGTTATGTAACCCTAAAATACTACGAGTCTTTTCGAGGCTCTAGTAGGTTATGTATTGACTGTGGAAGAATGGTAAATCTTCCTTCTCACTTAAGGCGAAGAGACATATAAGGCGATACATCTATCCAAAGTTTAAGGTCCCAAAAGAAACATGCCGCATTTGCATGGCTCATTTATTTATCTTCCATAAAGTCACTTGTAAATATTGTAAAATCTAAATGTAAAAAAAGAATAATAAACGGAGATGGCAACTAGTTTGTTTTTGGAGGCCATCACGAGCTGTGGCGGTGGAGGGGCCGCAGCATTTCTAAAAACTTAATAAGTTATCAATACACTGTTAAGTTGTATCATTTTAACAATGGATGTTTTTTTTTAAACACACATTTTTTAAACACAATATTAGTTTTACCCGAGTTGCTGGGGACTGAAAGGAGCAGCGAATTAAGTCTAGTAACAGATGGCCGTGTTTATTTTTAGATGCCAGACCCTCGCCAAAATACTTGTCATAGTTTCTTAACGTCAAAGGGGGGCTCTGCTGCGCCACACCCATCGTGTTCAACTGATTGTAGCACACTCACCCTATCGTTTATAAATACGACCGGATGCAGCTGCTTGATCTACATGTAGCCGTCACCGGATGTATGTTCTAAATAAGAATGTCGCTTTTACTAAGCCACGTGTCACTTTTCTTGTCAAAGCCAAGCCATCTGACTTTTATTTTATCTCCTTTCCGTTGTAACACTCTTTCAACTAAATATACATTTCCGGTCATTGATTTATTTAGCTCTTGTTCATAAAACCCTCCCTTTAGTATTTCACCATTATGGTCTTTGAGTACATATGTAGGTGGTTTTGTCGGTTTGATTGCGTAAATGGTGAAAACCTCGTTTGTCCAGTTTGGCAGATAGCCTTTAGTGAAAACTCTTTTATACTTGCTTATCCTAACACTATCTCCCAGTTTATATTTTGGTGCCACCCTTTTTCCCTTCTTGTTTATCCTTTTTAATATTTCCTTTACATTCTTTTGTTTCACATCTTTTGGTTTCATACCAATTGTTCTATGTACCGAGTTATTATATCGCTTGAGAATATCAGGAAGTAATGATAACCATTCATATGTACCCTTTGCGGTAAACTCTTTCCACATCCATTGTTTCAAAGTTCTGTTAAATCTCTCCACGATACTAGCTTTTAAATCGGAAAACGTAGAATAATGGTTAATTCTATACTTTTTCATGAGAGCACCAATATGTTTATTAAACCATTCGGTTCCCTGATCGGTTTGAAAGTGTTTCATCTTATGTTTGATCAATATAGGTTCAAGTGCCTTGGCAACTGCTGGACCTGTCTTATCTTTTAACGGGACTGCAAAACCGAATTTTGAAAAACAGTTAATCATAGTCATTATGTACCGATTACCTTTATTTAACTTTGCATAAGGCTGCATCTCTACGAGATCGGCCTGGTACAAATCATTTAACCCTTTAAGAGTCACTTTCCGTCTAGTGTAATTCTTTCTAGCTGGTTTGTGTAGCTCTTCAGCTATAGCACGTCTGACATCCATTGTTAAAATGATACAACTTAACAGTGTATTGATAACTTATTAAGTTTTTAGAAATGCTGCGGCCCCTCCACCGCCACAGCTCGTGATGGCCTCCAAAAACAAACTAGTTGCCATCTCCGTTTATTATTCTTTTTTTACATTTAGATTTTACAATATTTACAAGTGACTTTATGGAAGATAAATAAATGAGCCATGCAAATGCGGCATGTTTCTTTTGGGACCTTAAACTTTGGATAGATGTATCGCCTTATATGTCTCTTCGCCTTAAGTGAGAAGGAAGATTTACCATTCTTCCACAGTCATTACATAACCTACTAGAGCCTCGAAAAGACTCGTAGTATTTTAGGGTTACATAACCACAGTTTTCTTTATGATAGTTCAAATTGTCCTGCCATAGCGTTGATGGAAGATCAACACTTTCTTTTACATAAACTAAAAGGATGACGTTTGTGTAAATCTTTCTAATTGGAAGCTCGGACAGGGACAACATGATGGTTAGAATGTTCCAAATAGAATAGACTATCTTTTTATTTGCCCCCAGAAAAGCTGCGGCCCCTCCACCGCCACAGCTCGTGACGGCCTCCAAAAACAAACTAGTTGCCGTCTCCGTTCCCCCAAAACGTCTCTTACCACCTTCTCAAGGATGTGATCATGGATTGTAAACAGGAACATCTCAATCTGGTCCATTTGTATAGACGTGCTGCACAGACGGTGCATCTATCTCTTGGAGTTTTAAATTTTGGTACACATACAATCGTTCCAAACCGTCGGAAAGAAATATTTGCTGCCTCTCCAAAATCCTTACAAGACTCTTCATTGTCGAAAAAACAAATATGGTAGTAGACATAGCCGCAGTTTTCATGGTGGTAATTGAATATTTAATCTTTAATCATAGGTGGGATTGCTGCTTGCTTTACAGTATTTAAAAGAAACAGATTATCAGTAATCGTTCTAGCTGAAAACTCGAGTAGGGACAACATGGTGGTGTAAAGGTTCCAAGTGGAATGACACTTACCCCTCCACACGTGGTTTACGGGCCTTTTAGTCAGCCGCGCCAGTGACCTTCACACATGGTTTACAGGCTTTTTAGTCAGCCGTGCCAGTGACCAACATTCACTCATGGTTTATGGGCTTTTTAGTCGGCCGCGCCAGTGACCAATAGCATTCACACATGCACAAGGAGTAGCCCAAGTCCCTCCAGATTTGAGCGCCTCAATGTACAAACAGATTTAAAAATAGCCCCACTCCAGTTGGATCTCAGTCACCATGTGCTTCGCATCATGTTTCGGCTGGGTGTTTTCCATCAAACGCGAGCCGGTGGAGCCAATATACGAAGAACTTCAACCCCTGGATCTAAGGCCACCACCGTTACCGCCAAGAAAAACTGCGTATGCCGCCATTAAGGCATGTAGCGATAGTGGAGAGGGGAGCGCTACACATGTGCAGCATGTGCAACATGTGTTCAGTGTCCAACATGATCTCTCTAGTGTTGGTTGTAAATGATTTCATTCAAAATTATTTATGGTGTAGGATTTGTTAATTTTTAAATTTAAGCGAAGAAAAAGAAGACGAAGACACAGATTCGGTATTTGGGTTTAATTGGTAGCAAGGAGGGTGGAATGGCTAGAACGAGGTGGATGTTGGGGACTGGGAGTACGTGAAAGATAGTGATGATTCAGGAGTTGAGATTTTGGTGAGTTTTTTGCATTTTAAACCCATATGGAAGTGTATCATAATTGCTACTATGTTTCCTCTTTGGTCCCGTAATTTTAAACTGTTTGACTTCACTGATTGTAACTATATTCCTATCCTTTGTTCGTCTGATTCTATTTTCCTCAATGTCCATTGTTTGTGCAGCATCACCAAGAACCATCTCTTTCAAACTGTCAAATCCAATTTTTTTAGAAGTTTTCATGTTTAATGTGAGCCCTTTTACTTTACATACGGGAATCAATTTTTGTTTGTTAGTCGACCACACAAGATATGCATAGGTTTTAGGCCCTCCGGATACAAACTCTACTATGTATGAACCTGGTCCATACTCGGCCAACTCATCGGTCATTTCCCCTAGATAATCTCCCGTAGGAACTCTGTACAATCCACCCTTATATACATATAG